TTTATTTCTCATGTCGATTACGAAAAAGATATCAATTCTCCTGTCGGATACGAACAGACCACGTCGCAAAACTCTCATTGAGAAAAAAATTTCACAATATCTCCGGGGCTGACTGTACATGAGTATGTGGGCGAGGTGTATCGTGAATTCATCGTCCTCATTACCGCCCGCGAGTCTACACTGTGAGAGAAAACATAATTGATTTAACTAAAATTATAGTTCTTTCTGCATGCATATATGATTATTATCACATTATAGCAGAATTTAATCTAAGAAGAAAATAGTTTTTTTGATCATAATTAATAGTAATTGTTTACAAATATCAAACAATCTTCCCTCAGTGTACTCTGAAAATTTCGTTGGCACATGAGAACAAAATTCTCGGAAATTGATTTACGGTATACAAAAAGTTCATTTACAGAGGAACTTTATTTAAAAAATAAGCTTTATGTTCGACAAGTAAGTTCTCGAGCACCTTTTTCTCAGTACACAGAGAGATCGGTGAGATGTAAGGAAGAGTATTCACGCGACTTATAAAAAAAAAAAAAAAGAAACATGGCGAGAGGAAAGCGTCCGGGGAAGAGATAATGAAGTTTGTTCTTAGAATCATATAAGTGATGCTTCATTTGGACGTATACTTAGGGAACATTTGTTGCTGTCACGATTGACGAGTGTGTTCTCGATAGGGAGCACTTTCTTCGTCCGTTCCGATAATAACGCGTGCGTCGGATTGTAATGGTTTCGTTATGGTGATTAGAGGCGTGTGCTCGCGCGCGCTCTCGCGGTGCGTATAATCTTTAATGATCGGAACTCGTACGGTGATCGCGAGCGAAACGAGTGTGTCGGGTCTTTAGAAACTATGAAAACCGGGACGGCGCTAATGGTGATTACGGTGAAACCGTGCCGACGTGTCGATACACCGGAAGTCGACTTCTGAGGCGCGAGAGAAACGGGCAGGAAGCGCCGCGTAGAAGGTGAAAACGCCGTGGAAATTCCGACGACGGCGACGACGACGGCGGCGGCGACGACGACGACGACTCGGTCGATGCGGCTAGACACCCACCCTGCCTGCCGTAGTCGAGGGCGAGTCAAGGTCAAGCAAGGTCGCACCACCCAGCTTCCGGTGGGCGTGCGAGATTTACGCGCCGTTCACGAGATTATCTCGCGAGAAGACGACGAGCTTAGCGCTAAACGTCTTGACGTTTAGTTATCACAAAGATTTAATTTAGGAATAATTAAAATTGAGGAAAAAGTAACTCATTTTGTAACTTAACATACTCAAAGTTGCCGTATGTTTACGTGCATTAGTCTGTCGGGGATAATAAGAGGAAATGAAATAGCGCGTGAGAACGGAAAATGAAATGTCTTCAATAAATGAGCGCGGAAACGAATGAACACAGAAACAAAAAATTAAATACAAAAGCAAATTAAATACAAAAGAAAGAAATAAGTATTTTGAAGTATCTAATGGATTTTGTCCGGGAACGAATTCAATTTTCGATCTCAGTCGCGTAGCTCCTGTTTACGGTCGCGGAAACGAACGACGGCGAATAATAAAGGATCGTCTCGCCTCGTCGATGAGGTCTCTTCCCGATGTGAGCATCGTGCCGAATGTCGCGTACGTGATAAAAATACGAAGCAACCACTACTCGCAACTGGCCTGGATACGCCCGCGGAGGAATGCAGTAGGAAGGAGACTCGACGACATTGTCGAACAATATCGGGGCATCGCTTATCCCGTTTCCGGGAGCCTTGAAACGCTCGGTGGTTGCAGACGGTCCTATTTGCGCTCGTAGTGGACCTCTAAAAATAAACGTTACGGCACCATTCGTGATAATTTTCTGAATTTCGATTGACAGAGGAGAGTAGCTCGGGAAGCGCGTTTTACTGCGGATTTATCGCCAGCATGAACGGTAACATTCAAAAGGGGATGTAAAAGCGAAGTGCTTGGTTAGACAGCACAGTAAGTCGATAGCCATGAGTCGTACACTTTGGGGAACATAATGTACTCGATTATCTCGGGCTGCTTTAAAACGTTGAATTCCTCGTTTGCGCGCGATCTCTCTTTTTGCAATCACAAGGGAACGAATGCGCTATAATAAATATCCGGGTTCCGCGCGTCATACGACTTTCGCAAACGTCGAGCTTTGCCGAGCTTAACGATGCAATCTCACTCGCTCAATTTGCGCTACGAAAAAATCGCAAAACTGGCTCCCTACCCGACGTGTTATTCCTTTTGGCGGCCGTCTGCGCCTCCGCTTGTTCTCGTTCCTCCCGTCTCCCTTATGCTCTTCCCTTTCTCTCTCTCTCTTTCTCTCTTCTTTTCTTGTCTTCCTCATCTTCATTCTCGCAGCTCTCCTTTTCCATCCGCATCGCGCATTATCTCCCCGCGTTCTCGCGGGACGACCCCCGCTGCGCATCTGCCGCTCTTCGATCGGGAAAACGGCCGATCGCTCTGTGGCGTCTTCGATGCAGCCATCAGGCCCGATCTACGCGATTACCGAGTCGATTCACGAGTCCCGGTGGCCCGCGGTGACATCAGTGGGTCCTCCTCTGACTTGTATCTGTACGTGACTGATTTTCATACGCGCGCGTATCTTTTGTCACACACCTCGAGCAACCGGCAATATCGAACGTTCGCTTTGTTCAAACCACTTTCTCCGTAAATAACTCTTCCTCCTATAAATAGCATATAAACTAGAAGCGTTAATGCCTGAACATATATCTGGACTCTGGACATTTTTATTGTTTTAGTATTTAAATACAGATAATATATTCAAACCTTCAACATAGAGAGAGAATATATATACGTACATTGAATATATACATTTTATATTGGCAGTTCAAATATTTGTATTTAAAAAATAAAATGTGTATGTGTAAGAGAGAAACATGGCAAGAGCTGTCCAGAGCTCTGATATTTTTACTCCAACAGTTTTATCTTAACAACGAATGCGACAATACGACGGTTCTCGACGATAAGAGTTATTTCGTCATCCTCATGCTATTCCGTCATATTTGCGGCGAGCAAAAATCTTTTTATCGAGAATTTACGTGGGGGAACGATCGAAGGCGTCCGCATCACAATGTTGCATTCATCATTTCCGCGAGGCGCCTCGCGGAACAACGCATCCACGTCGTTATTGTAATGCCACGGGCTGTTACGGAGATCTGCAATTTGTATAGGCAAATATTATTTACGAGTAGCGCCGGTCTGTAATCTCTACGGCACAGCCGCGGTGCATTAAGCGACGGCTTTTTACGCGATTCGTTGGTCTCCGTGAGCAGCAGTTCCCTCCGGTCTTTCTTGTGCGACGCGTCGCTCCGAGAGAATTTGTCCTGACGAGCACATCGCAAAATCATCGTGGAAAATTTTCGCGCCAAGAACTTGACCCACTTGAACGGGAAACGCTGTTCGTCCTACCTACTTGGCGCTGTACGACGATAAAAACGAGCGCCAACAATGTAGATCGCAGGCATATCAAGTGGCTCGAATGAAATTTGCATTGCTCGGTGAGCCGATCGTGAAGAATTCCGCTCGCGACAGAAATCAGAGATCGGAGATTTCAACGGCCGCAACGACGCTCGGCGACCGGTCGGTCGAGGCGAGTTCTCGCCGTTCATCGCTCGCCGTTGCGACTAATGAACGCGATGAGAATTCGTTATTCCAATCGAATACCTTTCCAATTCACTATGAGAGTCGCCCCCGCGTCAATACTTGCCGATACCTTTCGCGGCGGAAGACGAGAACGAGCGCTGAATAGAGCGGCTTCGCGGCGAATTCTCTCCCGCGAATTCGGCCCTCAACCCCCCCGTCGCTCCGCGAGGGGAAGGAGGAAGAGGAGGTGGAGAAGGAGAGAAGCTCTGACGCATTGAATCGCGATGATAGACGGCTGGTTAGATCGATAGATTGGCTTCTCCAGCACGGCGCCCATTGATCGCGGCGTCCGTTCGCCATTTTCCACGGCGCATTTTTCGGGCCCGCTGCCGCGAGAAATTGCTTAATGAAGCCGCGGCTCGGTACCCGCCTGAAAGGAAGGTAGAAACGTTGCAGTGGGTCAAGGAGAGACGACGCCGGCTTTCACTTCCTCTCGGCAGCCAGAGAGCCTGCCAGAGAGCTACCTCGGAGAACGCCTCCCGTGTGCGCTGCGGTGTTCCTTTTTATATATTCTTTTCTTCTTTTTCTTCTCCTCCTTTTTCTTCCTCCCTCCCTCCTCGTGTTTCCGTCTCGTCGTTACTCCCGTAAGTGTTTATCTGCCTATGATTGCGTTTCGTTATTTCGGTCGACAAGAGAGAGAGAGAGAGAGAGGACATGTTCGCGTGGAGCTTAATGGACGCCAAATAGCCGCCACTTAACCTGCGCGGGCAAGAAGACGCCATGTAACACGGGTCACGATAAACAACTTATCTTCGGGGTTTATCGTTTTTTTCATTCGTTAACGAGAAGTCGACGCTTCACTTTGTAGAACGGAGTCCCCGATTCCACCGATCGGCAGCTGCGACGAGGGTAGTGCCGTGGCTGGTAGAAGATTGCATTATCGTTTAACGACGGTGAAGAAAAAAAAAAGTTTCCGCGTCCTCCATATATTGATTATTTACGAGATTCCTCTCTGCCTCGTCGATTAATATCTACACGCACTCTACGCTTCTCTGATAACGCGCGATAATTTCGTCGAACTGTTTCCAAGCGATCACGATGGCTCTTTAACAAGACTAAAGATAGGCTTGACTCGCGCCAAGTATATCTCTTTCTCTCTTTCTCTCGTCTCGTAATAACAATCGCTTACGGACGAAACAAAATCTCACGACGATACGATCATTCGATCGTTCGTGGGAAATAAGTCTTGCGCGTTTGATGAGTCGAATCTCCCTTTCCTTGCAGTATCGCGTCATTAGATCACAATTCCGACAGATACGGGATACACAGACGCGCGAGCGATTACAAAGCGCAAGTAGGATCCGCTCCGTTCATTGAAACGACGCCTCGTTATCTGTTGCAGTGGATACCAGGGAAGTCCAGCCGCACGACACCGGCGAGAAGGAACAGCTGGGTCTCGCGAGCGTGAAAGTGGAGCCGGGATCCACCAGCGCGACGACCACCAGCAGCACCGGCACTCGCCTGCTCCACGGCATCCTCTCCCAGCATCCCCAGCAGCACGGCTTGGGGCTGCAAAACGGATACGGCCGGCACTTGGCCGGTCACACTCAGATGGGCCAACCGCCTTACACCACTGCCGCCATCGCCACTACGAGTACACCAGGTGAGCACACAAATCTCCTTTCGCAAATCGCGACCGCCGGTCTGCCGAGACTCGTCCCGACAATTTGCGGGGCAGACTTTTCAACGAAGCTCGATATATTCGAGATAATGTGCGAAAATAAAACGCCTGGTTGAATCAAGAACATTTTTGGTCAAGTACGAATGAACCAGAAATTCCTGGTTACTTCAACTGGAATTTTCTAGTTTGCATTTCACCAGAAATTTCCTTAATCTAACCAAACTTTTTTTCCGTGTATGAAATGCTGAACATGATAACTTTCTTATGCACTGAGAGAAAAGATATCTGGAAAATGAAAAATATTTTTCCGGTGAGTACTAATAACATATCTTTACCTGAATTTTTTAAAAGAGGATTTAGATTTTTTTATTTAATAGAGTAAATAATTTCTTTCGTAAAACTGAGGTTTTAGGAAGATGTATATTCCTTATTCGAAAAATATTTGACATTAGTATAAGTAAATATATGTACTATTAATATACCTATCGAATATAATATTTTTTATTTTTTAAATATCTTTTCTCTCTCTGTATACACTTCTCCCATGTGCAGGATATAATATAAAAAAAAATCTAATAATACGCAGAATGGCGTAAAATAAAGGATAAAGTTGAGAATAAAACAAAGAAATGCAAATATATATATATATATATATATATATATATTTGATAAATTTCAAATAGAGTTTAACGCGTGACGGTCGGATAAATAAATCACGCGGACACACACGCGTAAACGCAGACTGGAAGGGGAGACAGATAAACACACGACGCGAGTGAGAGTTTGACGGATCACTGATAGGATGAGAAATAATATAGGATATTACATCGAAACGTGGCGCAAAATAGAACAGAACAGAAGGGAAAGATAAAATGAATAGTTGCAGCGCGCGTGCAGAAAGTTTCTCTTTTTCCCTTTCCTCGCTGTTTCCCGTGTAACATTTTTTTCCTTTTCGGAATTTAATTGCGACGTTGCTATCACTTTTAAACTGGACCGATTTGTTTAGGTAAATCAACTTTAATTGTCTGCGACAACAGAACGTATCAATGTCTCGTGTTGCTGTCCTGTAATCTGAGTCCGATAACGCGATTATTCTTCTGTAATCATCTTTACCTCGAAACGCGCGACACTTCCTAAATGTTTCACAGGTCTTCCACTAGAAAACGACGCGGGCGAGGGAGAGAGGGTGAAGATATAACGGCATTTCGCGGATTGACATTTGCAATCATGTAAAATAAAGCTCCGATTTTCGTTAATTGACTCGCCGTCGAAGTGACAATCGCAGCTCGATTAACTCGTTTCGTTTCGAATGATCGCACCGTCGATCGCCCGCACGGTTGCTCGCTAATTGGCCGCGAAGGAGAGGAAGCGAGGCAGTGAAAGCAGAACAATAAAACGTAATAATAGCGGCTTTAAGAAGGCGGTAAGAGAGGCCGTCGACGCGATTTATTCGGAACGGATCGCGCTGGTAACACGACGCGAAAATCAATGACGGTGAAAAATACGCGCTTCGCGATATCCTCCGTGATCGCAATTACAGAGACAGACAGATAGACAGAGAAAGACCGAGTCCATGTCGATTTCATAAAGCGGTTTTTGCGCAACGAAAAGAGAAAGAAAGAGAAGAAAAAGAAGCATACGACGCGGATGAACAAATCGTCGACGATTGCGCGCTCGGTTGCAGAAGAATTCGGGCAGAAGTCAATTTTTAAAATACCGACTGAGATTGTTATTGCATAAAAGCAGCGCGCCGGTCGGTCGGTCGATTCGGCGAGACTACTCTCGCGGCTTATCGACTTGCGCCGGTCTTGCACGATCGCGCTTTGCATAACGCGACGAGGGCGACGATGACGACGACGATGACGACGACGACGATGAGAAAAGGGAAGAAGGGGGCAGAGGAAGAACAGGAGAAAGAGCGCAATGGCTTATGTAGAGAACCCTTTGGGGCTCGTTTGAGACGGTTAGTCGCGTCGCGACGAAGAAAGAGAGAGAAAGAGAGTGAGCGGAGGGAGAGAGACCGTGGGAAGAGCGAACGATATGCATACCCAATGACCGGATGACCTTCGCCCGTTGCATAAAGATGCCTTTAATTGACGGCGCGCGCGAAAACACGTTCAGCCCGACGACGCTCGATAAAGCCGAACGAATGAACGAGCGAGCGAGTCGCTGGACCACCAGCTCGATGGGCCACCTAATTTGTTTAAAGCGGCAGACGAAAGCGACGGACGAGCTTTAATTTAGGGGCTGGCAAAGAGCCGGGGACCGGTCGATCGTTGATTTATTACGTCCGCGTAATGCCGCGGCGGAACGGCGATTCGGTAATTGGCGCGGCGTAATGCTCGATACAAAGTGCTCCGATCGAATGTGCCGGCGACAGCTCGTGCAGCAGCTCGCGCTAAATGCGTGTGTACATATCGATGACATCAGGAGGCGCGCGCGGGGTAACGTATCGCGAAATTTCCATGACAAACAGTGTTTTCGTGAGAGCACTCGGCCGAAAAGGAGAGACAGGAGATCGTGTCTCTCGACTGCGAAAAAGGAGAAAAAGTGAGGAAAATAAATAACGGGGAAAAGAATGAGTCGAGAAACACGGATTAGGGAATTTCGGTGTGCCTTGTGTAAAACAAAAACTATTAGCATGCCGTCCGAAGTCCGCGTCGCGAAAGTGAATTCCATCCGCGCGATGCTATATTTGTGACTTCATTCGTGTCAACTGAGACATGTCTCTTGGTTGAAACGAAAAGCAATCAGGAAATATGACTTTGTGCGTGTCAAAACAGCGAATTTTACGTGTGTAAAAATACGGTCTCTTCCCGCTTCTCTTCTGGGCCGAAGATGTCTGAGGGCCGTATTAATAGTCGTCACTTAAAACTTGAACCTCGGCTGAGATATTTAAATTTGAATATAAAGTGAGATGTGAATCTTTCTCAGCTGAATCGTAATTGCGCCAATGTAATGTCGCACATATCGTGTGTGATTCCGGTAAAATCTCAAATTTAAATCCAAATTCATATCCGGGTATTTCACGTGAGACAGGTTTCAACTAATGACTACTGATAAGGGCCTGAATGTTACAAGATATTACTTACCCGACAAAAGAGTACTCTTTCATTTCGCGCATCGTCAAACGGTACCTGCAAATTGCGTTGAATATCTTTCTCATGATACGACGAGGACATTAGCTTCTTCAAAGAAATAATAATTCCTCGAGCACGACATTTATGACACTTTTACGTTCCGTCTCAATTTCCGCGCCGGAGTCCCTTTAAGCATTTTATTTTATTTATCCCGCTTTGAGAGCGAAACGCGGCAGATTGATCGACGGTGGCGCGCCTTATCGCCAGCCGTAAACTCTGCCGGGACCATTTATCACAGAGGACGTGTCCTCCCTTTGTTTCATGGCGTCCGCTGGAAACAGGAAGCGGATCACTGCCAGCGAGCCCGGCGGACAGCGGAGTCAGCGACGTCGAGTCCAGCACGTCCTCGGGCGGCAACGAGGACGCGAATCTCTTACTGAAAGCCAGGCTCAATCCTAATTCGTCCCTCCAGCCGAGTCTGGCGTCTCATCACTCTCATTTGTCGTCAGGTGAGCTCATTATCTCATACACTCTCATACGTAGGCGCACGCCTCGAATGTAAAACCGAAAAAGCAGCGTCCCACACGGCGGGAACCAACGTGATATCCCTTTACAATGCGCAGAATATCAATATTCTTAAGGTAAAGGTACCAATGCCGAAATGAAACTATAATATTCTCGCCGTATACGAGAAACGTTCTAACATTCTTTTACTCTTTTTTTCATTAAAATATGTTTTCATCTCTGTGATAATTCTAATTAATCGGTTTTATCAATTAATCCACATCGCGGCCTGTTTAATTGCTTTTATCCCATTACCACACAAACATTAACAGAACAACGAATAATCATCACTAAAATCGAACGTTCGAGTCCAGTTTTACGTTTTATCGGACTTAACACGATATTTGCGAGAGCATCCTTCGAAAGTTGCGCGAATTCGCTCGCTCGCGCCACGAGCTCATATCGCAATCATTGAGAGAACGGGGCAATTAAACGGACGTTTTCTTATCGCGTCTCTCTATCAATTGTTCGACAACAGCACTCGGCAGATCGGCCTGCCACAGCCCCGGCGTATACCAGTCGACGGCGAGCTTCCTGCCGCCCTCTTATCATCCTCATCAGCATCATCCCTCCCAGTATCACCCGCACCGAGGGAGCTCGCCGCACCATCAGCACAGCAACCACACCATGGGTCCGACGATGGGGCCGCCCCACCACCATCATCACCATCAAACGCAGAGCCTCCAGCACTTGCATTATCGTCAGCCATCCACACGTAAGTTTGAGTTTCTAACTTGTTACCGCCACGACCGCGCGCCATCGGCATAATCAGCGCCTCTCTCGCCGGGGGTCTTTGCCTCCCTACCTCTCTCGTCAGGAAACCTCGGCGATTCTCGTTTGCGTGGCATTAATTGCGCTATTTTGGCCGATTGCATAAGCAACAAGGCGCGATTTTCTCAAGGGGTAAAAATGCCCCTGGAACTTAACCCTCCGCGTGCATTTTTCGAGACATACAATCCGGATCTGTCAGACCTGGACAACTTTGAGGTCTACTATAACTTTGTTAAAAATCAATATTTTTAGACACATTTCTTCCCAGTTATACAGAAAAGCCTCAGCTATAAGATAGCGGCGCAACAAAACCAAAATAAATAAAACAGATTTGTTTGATTTTGAAATTTTCTCAGACCCTTTGCGAGAGTTGGCGAACGATCGAATATTCGTTCGAGTCTCACATACCCGACATTGCATGTGGAAATTTTCTACAGAAAGATGTAATCTTAAAAAGATGTAAACATTTGTATGCAGAAAAGTTATTTCCATACAAGTGTTGACATTTTTTCGAAGCACCCTGATATAATGATATCGTTGCTAATATTCGGCGGCGATTTCGAAAATTATCAAGACGGCGGCTGCGATGTCAGAATTCTTCGACATCAGTCGCGATTTCGTGAATCGCCGGCGACGAAAGCGTCGATCACGACGAGCTCGCGGCACCGTGAAGATCCGTGCAAGATGATCAGTGCCCGACGAATTCCCGACTCGCGGTGGTCTGTGTGATATTCGGCTGGCTTTGGAAGAACAGCGCTTCGTTAAAATTCCGCCGTGCTCGCCGTGCTTGAACGTAGAAACTAGAGAACAAAATAAAAAAAAAAGAAAAGGAAAAGATAAAAGAGAAATGGAGGGGAAATAAAACGTGTCTCAGAATTCCAACGAAGGAATTCGAAACATACACAACAGAAGTGATATATCTTGGTGGTTCACGTCACTAACGTGTTATTTCGAGCTTTCAAAATTTCACGTATCACCCCGTATACGGTAATGCACGGATAACGATCGAAATAGATTTCCAGCTACTCGGATTCAGGCTAGTAGACTTACCAACGAGGCGGGCCTTTTCTTTGACCTCGTTTACTTATCGGCAATTTCGACGATAGTAGATGTATCTCCGTTCTCATCGCAATCGATCGGCGGGGCGAGAGTTCGGTCAGGAGGGCGGACGACGGGGAGATGGGGGAGAGGAAGGGCGAGAGAGGAGGAATACTCGATGAAACAGTGATTTCGGTATCTCGCGGTGGCATCTGAGGACTGGATCGCCGTGACGTAACAGCTCTCGCGGTAGCCCGAGTTTATTTCGACTTGGTGGATATCGATTCGATCGCCGTCGTCCAACCAGACGCGGAATATTTTCGCGTTTGACGGCTCAAGATCCACGCGGGCGAGCGAGCGAGCGAGCGTAAGCGCAATGAGGGGAAGGAAGAGGAGGTTGTATGGACGAGAGAGAACGGCGACGACGACGACGAGTTTTGCACGATTTAGCAATCTCGCCACGAGAGAGGAAGACGTCGCTTTTTATATTGCACGCCAACGTAAAAGCCGACCGACCGACGCGAGAATATTTGATTTCGCGACTGTAGTAGAAGCGCACGAGATTAATTCGCCATCAAATCGGCGATTAGGAAATATTTATGCTCTCGTCGATTAGTAATGCGGATGCAGAGAGCTGAGTGACAAATGGAAGAGAAAAAAGAGAAATAAAACGTCACGAGCGTGACAGAATTTCTTTTTTTATCGATATAATAATTCGGATCCGCGTTAAAACTTGAAAAAGCGAGCCCGCTCTCACCCCGTTCGCGCTGCAGCTCGAAGTGAAATAACGACCGAGATATGTACACAAATGTGTACGTTGATGCGATAGCAATTTTGCCGAGAGCTGAACTTTTATTCGCGCATGTTTCCGAAATGGACGGAAACGAAATTTCTCCCCGACACACCAATTGTGTCAATTTAGATGAGACAGCGATCCCACTGACAGTTTTATCTTATTTCACACTCGCGGTGCCGTCTATTGCGCCGGTTCGATAATAAATTTACACAGCTTTCCAAATACGTGTGGACGTTAACCACCCTTTCCGTCGACCGGTGCTGCGTATTACTTCCTGTGCTATTTTAACGTGACGGCTACACGCGATACATTATTCGCGCGATGTTAAAAGATGTCTTGCATGAAGTTCTGGTCACACGACAAATAGAATTACCCCCTCGCAAACATGGTGGTGCTTCGTGATTCGCCAGAAGAGATCGTTCTCAGGAACTCTCCTCGCACAATGCGACTCCCTGGGGGACAAGCATTGAAAAGATTAACGAAACGTGAACGTGTGCGCGCGATTCTCACGTGTCGCCATGGACGCGCTTCGCCGTTGTCTTGTGATAGCAATCACTCAAAAAATGGCAGCAATAGCGAAAATCGTCTAAAAATTAACCAAAATGGATAAAAGACTGGCAATTACATTGCAATATCACGCATGCTTTGTATTTCACCGATATAAACGATAGAATTTCTATCTGAACTATTTGTGAAATTCAGCAAGAAAGTCCCTCTGTGACGTCCATTCAGGGATAAAGTTCCACTCATACTTTTTATAAAAACTGACTGTGGTAGAGAAGAGAGCACAAACAATTTTCTAGCAGATACAAAAAACAGTGATCGATTTAAATTGTGAATAAATCTTAACGTTTAGAATTCTATGTGGATCAGCACAACTTTTTTTGAGTGGTTAGACCGAGTTTCTCGAGCAAACGAAAGCAGGAAGTGACGACGTCGCGTTGGTCGCGATCTAGTACGTCTAAAACGAAACCGCGACAGTATGACTTCCTCTCTTGACGGCAGATGCCAAGTGAAAGGATTCGCCCTATCGTGTTCTCGCGGAAAACGCGGAGAGGAGAGCGATCGCGCTCGATGCAACGCAACGCGACGCGACGCGAAGCGAACCACCATCGTCGTCGTCGACGTCGACAACGAAGACGACGACGACGACGACGTCGACGTCGACACTTCCATAGCCAGCCGTTCGTCTCGTTCTCGTGACCCACTTGCCGTTCTCCGATTCGACGGCCCAGATTCGCTTCCTGCCGCCGAAGCCTTTCCGACCCCGCTCTCTTGCAGCGTCTCGCGGCCGCACGCAGATCTTGGAAGATGCAATTTGCGCGGTTCTCTCTCTCTGTCCCTTTCGGCGCCTCACTTCCATTGCTCGTCGCGTTACTGTTGATTTCTACGCGAAAACAAGAGTTTCGTCGGATTCACCAATCATGTTTTGCGAAGCAAATCTTTTAATTAATGACTCAGTTTTCAAGAGCTCACACTGAGAGAAAGGAATGTTTTATTTAAATAAAAAATTATAGTTTTTGATCTCAACTATATTTTTATCACTAACACTGTATTTTTTGTTGTTATCACTAACATTAAGTAGAATCTAATAAGCACAAAATGTGGTGTTCCTGGCCATAACTTGTGGTAATTATTTATCTGCGTGATAGTTACAAATACCAAACTTTTCTTTCGTAATGCAGAGATTAGGGCGATGGTCTAAATATCAAGGACGACGCGGCACAACGCGTGATTGAAGTTCCCGCGGCGAGAGGGTTTTAGCGATTCGTGCCGATGTCAGATCAGGGCTTCTCGCGGAAATTAATTTCGCGCGCGAGACGATGTGGGTCAGCAGTCGCGGCGAGGGAAAGGTGCACGGCTGTCGTGCAGTATGATGTCGCGAGGCATAATTAATCAGGGTTGCAATCGACGTGCCGCGGAGCGCGATTTCGCGACATGACGCGCGATCCGTGCGGCGGAAATCGCCGTTGTGCGGGCTCGCGTTAACCGACAGCTGATCTCGTCGTCGGGAACGCACCTGGCCGCCGCGTGATTTCCAGAGGAGAGACACCGGCGCTCGGATTGGCGCCAAGGTTGCCTCCTCGCCGAGTTAAGAGTCGACGAGCGGCCGAAGAGAGCCCGAATGGAAAGCGCCGACGCTAAATCGCGGTGAAATTCTGTGCGCACGCGAGCGCAGAGTATCAATTATCGCCGCGGCGGAAAGGGAAGAGGGAGAGAAAAAAAGATAAAGAGGACGAGACGGAGAGAGACGGGGCGGAAGCGGCCCGCGCTCGTTGCGTTTTATTATCGTCATAGGCTGCAATTGCCGCTGCACCGGCGGTCGACAATGAGATCGAACTTTCCCTAATTGAAAGTATCTCCTGCGAGCGCGTGTGCTGCCACCGCGACCGCCTTTAACCTCCTTTTTTACGGCGCCTCCCGTCGTTTTGGTCGGGCGGAAAAATTGCCGTGTCTTTAAGCGCGTCCATTCGCGGCCACGCCGGGATGCGAACGGGCTCGCCGGGCCGTAATTTGCGGCCGCGCGAGCTACGATAATAAGAACACCCTAATGAGGATTTGCGTTGGTTCGCGAGAGCTGCCAACTCCAGTTTTTCGCACCGTCCGACGTGTACCTGTTCATACGACCGTCGTCGATTAGTTCCATAAAGTTTTTCGCAAAAACGCGAAGCGCAATGAGCTGCGTCGTAATCTCTCACTTTAACACCCGTATGAAATTTCGCGTCTTGTTTTCCTCGCTCTCGAGAGCGTACTTGGTCGATTGCTTATAACGTGCCGGTTAAGAGGCTGAGCATATATCACTGAAACAATTGAACGATACGATTCTCTTTAAGGAATCATGAAAGTGACGTTTTTGTTCCGCGCACTCCTTCCTCCATCCTCACTTCTCGACTTCTTTCAATAGGAGAAAGAAAAAAAGTAACTCGCGCGTTTTTATCTCACATGCTTCTACCCTCACTTTTCAAATTATTTTAAGAGGGAAAGGAGAAAAAAGGGAAGAGAAGGGAAAAAAAGGAAAAAAAAAAGATAAGAGGGAAAGGGTTAGAGAGAAGAAAGCGAGGAAGGGCGGAAGGTCGCTTTCCTCTCGTTCCTTCTTTATCTTAAGAAAG